TCCCAAGAATAGGGAACAGCAACAGAATCTGTGAAGTGAAATTATGACAGAAAGTATGGATATGATTTTATATACCGGAAGAAAGAAAAAAAAAGATAAAATGTTAAGCAACTAACTCTTCATCTTCTGGTTACCCACACTCTCTGACTGAGACCACCCTTTTTCTAGTCAGCAAGGGCCTATGTGAGATTCTTCAATGACTTTTGTCTCCTTCCTTCTCTTCTCCCAAGCCCCAACAATCATCAGATATTAGCCGTTCATGTTCTGCCTAACTAACCACTTCCAGAATTAAATTTCCTACTAAAGACCACACAAATCACCAAGCTTAAAGATGGATGTGAGGGACTTCCCCTGGCGGTCCAGTGGGTAAGACTCCACGCTCCCAATGAAGGGGGCCCGGGTTCGATCCCTGGTCAGGGAAGTAGATCCTGCATGCATGCCTCAACTAAGAGTCCACATGCCACAACTAAAGATCCCACATACTGCAACTAAAAGATCCCGCATGCTGCAAAGAAGATTCCATGCGTCGCAACTAAAACCCGGCACAGCCAAAATTAAATAACTAACTAAATATTTTTTAAAAAAACAACAACAAGACAGATGTGAGTGGGTGTGCATGTAATCTTGGATCAAGTCTCAATTGTATGGCCTACCTCAATGTTACCTACCCTCTAAAGCAGCAGTCCCCAACCTTTTTGGCACCAGGGACCAGTTTCATGGAAAACAGTTTTTCCAGGGACTGGGGGGAGGGGGTGGGGGATGGTTTGCAGATGATTCAAGCGCATTACATTTACTGTGCATTTTATTTCTATTATTACTACATTGTAATACATAATGAAATAATCATACAACTTGCCATAATGCAGAAATCAGTGGGAGCCCTGAGCTTGTTTTCACTTGCCACTCAGTGATAGGGTTTTTATATGAGTCTGCAAGCAACTGATTTATTATGGTCTCTGTGCAGTCAAACCTCTCTGCTCATGATAATCTGTATTTGCAGCCGCTAGCATCACCGTCTCAGCTCCACCTCAGATCATCATCAGGCATTAGATTCTCATAAGGAGGGCGCAGCCTAGATCCCTCACATGCGCAGTTCACAGTGCGGTTCCCACTTCTATGAGAATCTAATGCTGCCGCTGATCTGACAGGAGGCAGAGCTCAGGTGGTAATGCAAGTGATGGGGAGTGGCTGTAAATACAGATGAAGTTTCGCTTGCTCGCCCACGGCTAACCTCCTGCTGTGAGGCCCAGTTCGTAATGGGCCACGGGCAATTACCGGTCCGTGGCCCAAGGGTTGGGGACCCCTGCTGTAAAGGGAAGGAGACAACTGAATCCTTTGAGTTTACAATATCACTTAGTATCATTGCTTCCACAACCTAAAAGAAAATTTATAAAATGCAAATTTGAGTCTTGTCTATTATTACAATCTTATAATAAAAGATGAGGCATTTTTTGTGTTCCATGGGTGAATGGAGGAAAAGAATGTTCAATTTGTAAGGTATCTCAAGGGCCCAGAGGCTCATGAAATGGAGTACTAGGGATGAGAAGAAGGGAAAGCACCACCAAATTCAAGTGCCTAACAGTCATTTCACACTCCTGACGATACAGTTTGTCTAAAAGCTAAAAGAACTTTAGGCTCATCAAAGACTTTATAAATCATTTCAGTGCCCCATAACTGTCCTATTAACTGTGTAGTCTTGCGAAATTTAGTTTCCTCATCTATAAAATACTCATTCATTCATTCAATAAATAGTCACTGAGTACCAACCACATGCCAGGCACTGGGGATACAAGAGCAAACAAAACTGGTTATAAGCTTTCAGGGAGCTTATAATCAGGGCAGGGGTGGGGGGTGTGGGTTCGGGGAGTGCTGGCAGAAGGGATAGATGATAATAAAATCTCCATTGTTAGTGATATTCTTCTCACATTTAAATAGGAGAGTCAGGGGATAAAATACCCCACAGAGATGTGAAGACTGAATGACAATACATATAAAGAGGTTCAAGTACTGTCTGGTACACGCTAACCCCTAAAGAAGTATTAACTGTTGTTGCTGTTATTTTTATCATCATTATTATTAGTCATTTTCCAAAATGAGGAAATTCTGGATACCACATAAATCCCTATGAATTCTGAATTTACAGTTAGAATTTTACCTGTAAATGTGTAAGTTGAATTTCTTGTATTCCAAATCATTGCTCACTCCAATTCCCCCTACAAACAGGGATACTGGTTCTTATATGCTTTCACAAGTATTATGAGAATTACCTATTTGAAAGGTCCTCTAAAAAAGATAGGCATGTAAGTGCAAAGTAGAGCCTCCTCTATTTTACAGCAGAGCAAGGTGGTCATCTCCCGTGTTACACTTTAGTAGGAGTCTGTATTACCATGGACGTCAGGTGGCCAGCTGATGAGATGAAGACAAGGTAAAGCCTTTCAGTCATCACCAAGGCAGTGGGGGCAGAAGGCTGGCAACCTGGCAACAATATTCCCTTGCCATTCTCTTCTCCTGCCCCCATTCCACTCTTTTGTGACACCTCTTTCTTTCCTCCTCGATGAGGATGCACAAGACATATCTTAAACAATTCCATAACTGAACAAACATGACATCACAAGAATTCTTCTTTCCTGTAATTTGCCCTAGGTGCGAAATTCTCATAGAAATAACCAAAACTCAAAACTTTACATAAAACTGATTAATGGTAGTGAAAAGCATCCTGGATATATGAATGTTGAGCAGAAAATTATTGTGCTTTGAATTTTTAGTTGAAAAATTTTCTAAAATGACTAAGGCTTTTCTAAGTACATTGTAAATGAACTCTTCTTTGGTAAAGGATCTCTTCCAGGACCAGAAGACAGGCAGCACATCAAATTTTTATATGTAGAAGTCCAATCTTGATTCAGTACCAGACTTCTATGGGACTTAGAGCAAGTTATTTAAGTCTCTGGGCCTCCATTTTCATGCCTATAATTTTCCCTGGAAAATTACGGAAAATCTGAAAGTGATCATTCAATAAAATGTTAATTTCCTCATGTTATAATAGGAATTATAACACTTTTCTACCTCAATATATTATTTGAGACATCAAAAGATATAACAAATCTTGAAAAGAATGTAAATGAAAGACATTTTTATTAGTATTGATTTGAGCTCTGTATCAGACAGGGTCTATCTAACAAGGAAACCCAGAAACCACTTGATGTAGAACAGAAGGACTTCAATGCAGTGAACAGGTGAGGGAAGAAATGAGAGGCCCAAAAGGGAACAGTGATGCAAATCAGAGGTTAGCATGGGAACAAGTCACTACCACCTCTAGGCTGAAGGAAAAAGCGAGGGAATGCATTGCTACCAGTTTCCAAGGCTGAAGTTACCTGGAGGAAGCTGAAAACAGAATGGCCTGACTGGCAGAAGCAACAAAAGAGACGCTTCCAGAAACCACCCCACTCCTCCAACTTGCCAAAGCAGAGAGAAAGAGGGGAAAGCCCTGGCTTCTCCTACTTCCTACCCTCCAATCTCTTGCCAGTTCCTCTCACTTGCTAATCCAGCCAGAAACTGCTGACACCAGAGCCTGGGAAGGAATGAAGCCCACAAGGGTCAACTGCTCACAATACTCAGCAGAGAAGGGAAGGGCGAGGAAAGGATCTGAGGGCAAACCGGCCCAGGATCAGCAGAAATACCAACTCTGCTCAGGAACACAGATGATGATGGAGGAGGAAGAAACTGGACTGAATCAGTAGTCACCCAAGGATCCACATTAGAAGATAACTTTAAAAAAAAAAAATTAAACTGCTACCTATCCAACTTGTTTGCTTCTCATGAGCTTAAAATGGGATGAGGAAGAAAGGAAAACGTCATATAAAAGATCAATTATGGTTTTACTACATACCCTAGATTATTTTATTTTACTTTCTCAAATCAAAACTTAATTATATTTTATCCTTCTTAGGGGTGCATGGGTGTGTGTATCCCCCATGTGTATTTATATATGATATTTTTATATATTTATATGATTTACTGACATCTATAATTATATAATATTGATATGTAATTTATATATATATATATATATATATATATGTATTTGATATATATCTATATCAAAGTGTATTCTCCCCTATTATAACACTGAATGTTCCCATGAGGCTAGTGAGCCATGCAATTCAGGGGCTATTCCAACATTACAGATGAGGAAACTAACAATTCAGGGACTATTCCAACATTACAGATGAGGAAACTAAGACTCCAGAGGTTAAGTGATTCGCCCATACTCAACAACTAATTAATGGAAGAGGCAGGACTACAGCCCAGGTCCCCAAAGTTACTCGTTAAACTATACCAAGTTTCTGCCCCAATAGTAAATGACTTTCTAATTTTAAAATGTAAGTGTCTGGGCTATCAACTAGACATAGCAACACAAAATTAATAATGATTTTAAAGTTTTTCTATTATTAAAAAAAAGCAGGGCTTCCCTGGTGGCTCAGTGGTTAAGAATCCGCCTGCCAATGCAGGGGACACGGGTTCGAGCCCTGGTCCGGGAAGATCCCACATGCCGCGGAGAAACTAAGCTCGTGCGCCACAACTACTGAGCCTGCGTTCTAGAGCCCACAAGCCACAACTACTGAAGCCCGGGCACCTAGAGCCCACGCTCCGCAACAAGAGAAGCCACCGCAATGAGAAGCCCGTGCACCGCAATGAAGAGTAGCCCAAGCTCGCCACAACGAAGACCCAACGCAGCCAAAAATAAATAAATAAATTTTTTTTTAAATTTAATTTCTGCAATATCAATGCAGAAGGGGGGGGGGGACATACAACTCAGTCTGCGGGTAAGGGCAAGACAAAAGGCATTAACCATAAAGGAAAAAAATTAATAAATCAGCCTTCTATCAAAATTAAAACTTCTGGGGACTTCCCTGGTGGCGCAGTGGTTGAAAGTCCGCCTGCCAATGTGGGGGACGCGGGTTCGAGCCCTGGTCCGGGGGGATCCCACGTGTCACGGAGCGACTGAGCCCGTGCGCCACAACTGCTGAGCCTGTGCTCTGCAGCCCGCGAGCCACAACTACTGAGCCCATGTGCCACAACTACTGACGCCCACACTCCTGGAGCCCGTACTCCGCAACAGGAGAGGCCATAGCAGTGAGAGGCCCGCGCACTGCAACAAGGAGTGGCCCCTGCTCCCCACAACTGGAGAAAGTCCGCGTGCAGCAACAAAGACTCAACGCAGCCAAAAATAAATAAATTAATAAAAAAATTAAAACTTCTGATCATCAAAAGATACATTAAGGAAGTGAAAAGGTAAGACACAGGCTGAGGGGTGGAGACAAAATTCACAATACATATAATAGGCAAAGGGCTTGGACCCCAAATATATTAAAGAATTCTTACAAATCAATAATAAGAAAACAAACAATCCAATTTAAAAATAAGCAAAAGACTTAAACGTTTCCTTCACAAAAGAAATGAGTGACCAATAAGTACATGAAAAGGTGTTCAACATCACTAGTCATCAGGATAATGCAAATTAAAGTCACAATAAGATACTACAACATACCCACCATCATGTCTAATATGAAAAAGATGGACAGTATCAAATGCTGGCTTGAATTTACAGCAAGCAGAACTCTCATAATTGCTGGTGGGACAGTAAAATAGTACAACCACTTTGGAAAACAGTTTTGCAATCTCTTATAAAGTTAAAACATACACTTTACATATGACACAGCAATTCCACTCCCTAGGTACTTACCTTACACAAAAATGGAAACACATGCCCCACACCCACAAAAAGATGTATAAGTGTTCATAGAAACTTTTACATAACTGTCGAAAACTGGAAACAACACAAATGTTCATCAACAGGAAAATGGATAAACAAATTGTATAGTCTTACAACAGAATACTAGACAGCACTTTCAAAAAATAAAAGAACTAGGGCTTCCCTGGTGGCGCAGTGCTTGAGAGTCCGCCTGCCGATGCAGGAGACGCGGGTTCGTGCCCCGTTTCGGGAAGATCCCACATGCCGCGGAGCGGCTGGGCCCGTGAGCCATGGCCACTGAGCCTGCGCGTCCGGAGCCTGTGCTCCGCAAATGGGAGAGGCCACAACAGTGAGAGGCCCGCATAACGCAAGAAAAAATAAAAAAATAAAAAAAATAAAAGAACTACTGATATATATATATATATATATATATATATATCTCAACATGGATGAATCTCATAAACATTATGCTGAGTAAAAGATGCCAAAAGCTAAATAGTACATACTGTATGCCTGCACAGCAAGAAGTTCAAGCACAGACAAAATTAACTTTCAGGGACAGAAATCAGAACAATGGTTCCCTCTAGGACAGAACTGAAGGAAGGACTGACTGTAAGGAAACTTTCTACGTGATAAAAATCGTTAACTCGACCTGAGTGATGATTACATAAGTACATATAGTTATCAAAATTCAAAAGTTGGGCACTTAAGATTTGTAGATTTTACTAGCATTGGGAAAAAAATAAAAGTTAAATTTAATTTTTTACTTAAAATTTAACACTGTCCCTCAAAAAAAAAAAGAAAAATCGAACAGAATTACCACATGAACCAGCAATTCCACTTCTGAGTGTATACCCAAAAGAGCTGAAAGCAGAGAGCCTCTTTCTACAGTTGCTGCTAAGATGCTTCCAAGGAAGCTAAGGCCACATTGGGGTGAGGCCCTGAATAGCACTGAGCCCGGCAGCCACCAGCTGGGCACTTTCACCTTCATCTACTTGGCCTCATTCTGCACTACAGTAGGTGACAGTCACAGAGGATAGATCAATGTTCTCATTAAAGCAGCCAATGTAAATGCTGAACCCTTCTGGCAAGGCTTGTTTGCAAAGGCTCTGGCCATCAGCAACCTGGGAAGCCTCATCTGCAATGTAGGGGCTGGTGGACCTGCCCCAGCAGGAGGTCCCACCGCCTCTACCACTGCTCTCCAGCTAAGAAGAAAGTGGAAGGCAAAGAAAGAAGAACATGAGGAGTCCAATGACTACATGAGCTTTCTGACTAAATCTCTTTTGTAACTTATTCAATAAAAAGCTGAAGTCCTATAAAAAAAAAAAAAAGAAAGCAGGTACTCAAACAGGTATTTATACACCAACGTTCACAGCAGTGATGACAAGAGCCAAAAGGCTGAAACAACCCATATGTCCATCAACAGACGAATGGATACACAAA